TAGTGGTGCAAGTGTCATGGCAGCAACTTTTTGCTATCTTCTCAACCTTATCTTTTTCTAAAGACCATGGGTGGAATACTGTGTTAATTCTCTCAGTTGTAAAGACTATTGTGGATTTTTGCATACAGTTCTCTTTCCCTTCCTTGGGAAGTTTATGTTTGGGTTGATAAAATACAAACTCCATTACCTTACTTTAGTCTTATAAAGTATAGATTTATTTTTAGGAAGTTTAATAAAACTGTTCATGCTAAACCAATATGTACTTATATTTGCGAAAATGACATTCATAACCATAAAGAGTTACTCAAAATGGAGCAAAGAGTGGAGAAAAAGAGAAGAGATTCACAACGACTTCTCAGCCTAGAGTTGTCTATTGGAGCTCAAATGGAGAAGATGCTCGACGGGATTAAAAAAAACAAGGGGAACAGTTTTGTCCCAAAAATTGGAATAGGTACTAATTGAATAAGTGCTTAAAATAAGTAGTCCTTAGGTTGCTTTTTTTTTAATATTTATTTTGATAATAAACACTTATTCATTCCTTTTTCGCTAAATGCAAATAAATATTTATTTATCACTTATTGTGTGATCCCACCACTTATTTTAAATACTTATTCAATATTTGAATAAATACTTAAAATAAATGATAACAAACAGGGGCTTATTTACCAAAAACAACCTATGATCAAGGTTTTAAAAACCGACCTAGAAACGGAACCGTTCTGGCCACCGGATTTCGAGTTAGCGGTTCGACCGTTTAGGTCAAACGGTTTGAACGGTTTGAGTATTTTAACAGTGATATGTCATCTTATACATTAGATTGGAATATTAGGGTAAGATGCATATAAATATAAAGAGAAAATAAAGATGAAATGAGAGGCATTTGAGAAGTTTCGGCTGAAAGAGTTTAGAAGAAGAAGAAGGAAAAGGAGGGCTTGAAGGCTGCAGCGATGATGATGGCAGTGACTTATAATGGCAATGGCGATGGCGGCAATAGCATCGGTGATGGTGAAAAATGGGAGTAGATCTGAGATTTCTCAATCAAATCTCTCTCTCTCTCTCGCAAATCTGTCATCTAGAGTCTAAAATCTAAACTTATCTCCTAGATCTCTCTCACTCTCTCACGCATCTCTCTTAGAGTCATAGTAGATTTCGATCTGAGAGATCTCAGATCTGAGCTTCCTTTTTGACAAGTTAATAAACCGCAAACCATTCTCTGGGTTGAACGGTTCAATGGTCAAACCATTCGGGTCAATAGTTCATTGATTAATTCAATGGTTTTTGAACAGAGACTGTGTATGGATTAAAACGGAACCGGTCACTTGAATGGTTTCCGGTCCAACCGTCTGAGTCAACAACGATTCGAAAACATTGCCTATGATACTTTGTTTTAACATTTATTGGTTTAGCCAAGGTTCAAAGTATCGACACGTATCGGCCTGTATCGACCGATACGTATCGTTCCGGCACCCCACCGATACGCCCCTACAGTGGGTGTATCAGTGGTCTGACCAGTTCAGAGTGTGGTGAAGACCTAAACCGACTCTCCCGAACCAGTTGGAAAAAAAAAACCACCAAAAGGAGTATCGTTTCACTCGATACGCCTATACCGATGTATCAGGCATATCGATATTTTGAACCTTGGGTTTAACTATTATGATTTGCATGGAAACCAAGATAAGTATCTAAATAGCACATTGATATAGATGGGAAGTAGGTCTGCTACTTAAGTGGGTGTTTGGCATTGTAGCTTTTCACAAGTTTTCGATTTCATGGGTTTTGCCACATAAGAAGAAATGGAATCACTATTTAAACGTGTTTGACAAGCATGATTTTAAATCACCCAAGTATCGTGGGACATTGAAATTTGAAAAGCCGACAGCTTTTTTGAAATGTCACTCACACATTTGTCATTATGAAAATAAGATAAAGCCCAATCTCTACCAAGCATGACTTTTTGTGTCTTTTTCAGAAAAAAAAATAAAAAAAAAGAGAGAAAAACTTATGAATACCAAGCCTTTTTCAGAAAAACGAAAAAAAAAATAAGAGAGATAAAAACTTATGAATCGAAAATAACCGTGAAACACATTGCTACCAAACACCCTCCCAATTTGTCCTGACACCATTCTCACAATAAATGCAACTTAGCATTGAGAATATCTCCTTGTTTTCCTTCATGGAAAAATAGTGCGAATGCAAGCATCGCTAAAGTGTTATGAGGAGGAAAACTTGATTCTAGCCAGCTAGCTTCCATAATAACCAGGGAATGTGTATGTGTGATAATTAGATAGTTTTATGAGCTTCCCTAAACCACCTACAAACCAACCAATCGAGGGTGGGCTAGTTGGTGTGTTAGCTGAGCATTGATGTGGAATCAAATCCTGCAATCAACTTATTTTGAAAAAAAGGAATCAAAAAAAGTTATTAATGATATAAATACAAAAAGAAATAAATAAATAAATGAATGAACCACTTATAAACCTTTGACATGGCAACTTATATGGGGGCTCCTACTCGAAAGAAAGACTTTTTATAGTCAATTTTTATATTGAAATAATTAAAAGCTTAAATGGCTATAATCAACTGGACCAACCTCCGTTAATAGGTTGGATATAGGACTACAGTTGGACACATGGCTGATCCATTGGGTTTCCTGTATGGTAGGTGGTCCAGATCAGCCACACGATTCCTCCACATGACAATATGGGTATCGATGAGTTTATTAAACAAGATAATCGAAGATTAGTTCATCCATTAGAATCACCATTTTTAATAATAAAATGATTAATTGCATTCTATTCTTAATTATATTATTATTTTTGTTTTAATCATAATTTAATAGTATATATGGCTTTAAATAGAATGGAATGGCAAAACAGGAGTCATGTAAGTGACCTGTATAGTTGGGACAAAGCTTTATGTCATTTTCTTTGTCTTGGCCATAATTTAATAATAAATATGGATTTAAATAGAATGGAATGGAAAAACAGGATTCACATAGGTGAGTTGTATAGTTGGGACAAACCTTTATTTCATTTTCTTTACTTTGTCCATAATTTAATAATGGATATGACTTTAAATAGAATGGAATGATGAAGCAAGATTCTTGTAGCCGACCCCATATCATTGGAACATATTCACATCAGTGCCCCACAGCCCATCCCAGCCGTATATTGAAAACATCTCCCCATGACAATTATGGAAGATGTTCCCAATGCATGCTGAAATGTGTATATGGGGCGCCAATCTCATTGGAACAAGTTTTGGATGATGATGATGAATTAGAGGAGGAAACTTTGCTAATTCATATGACAAGAAGAGAAAGATCTTGACTGATAAAGGGGAAAATAAATCAATTTGGCAGCTTTGGTAGACCCAAATACCTCCAACTCCGACCTGTTTTGACCACTTGAAGAGAATTTGAATTGGAAATTGAGTGGCATTTTTAAGTTCAAGATTGAAACTTGAAGGATCCAGTTGGAATTGATTTTGTGACAAACAATAGAATGCACAATGTCTACAGAGCTAAACATGGACAGAGGCAATAAACACATAAGCCAATCCAGAGTGTCACCCATGCAATTCACAATCTGGGATTGCGGCGATTGCTAGGTCTAATGGACAACTAGAGAAGGGTCAATTGTGTTGTCTTTTAGATTGCGTTTGGCTGCACGTGAAACGAAAAAAAAAATGTGTTTGCTTGCAAAAATGACATTCAATAAAAACAAACGGATTACTTTCCTAATTTTTTGGTGTTTTGCGTAACTCAAATGATGCTTTTTGGGAAGTATTTTTCCACAGGCATTATACAAGGCAACCAAACACTTTAAAATAGTAGTTTTAGAAATTTTTTGTTTTCCTTAGTTTAAATTTTATGTGCAACCAAATAGAGCCTTAAGTAATTTTTTATATCTATTTGAAAGTTTTTTTTTTCTTATGTCCAAAAAATTCCTTGTAAGTGATAGTTCCGCTATGAAAAGAAAAAAAAAAGTCATAAAAAATTATATACAAATAGAAAGAGAAAATATTTCTTATAGTTTTAACTGATTACATCCAAACCAAAAAGATCTAGTTGCCTTGTTTTATTATTTTTAAACCATAAAATTTATGATAAAAAGTAATTTAAAGCTTTGGTAGAACATAAACATAGGACAAAGGCATAAGACATCGATAGCTTACCAAGAAGGTTCACGCTTCGGCACCGCCATAGTATGTGAAAAGAATCAGGCTCAGCATAAAGTTTGATTACATACTTGGGGATTTGGTAGCAACAAAATGCTCCCAACATATTCCCATGGGAAGATGTTTTAAATGTATGGCTGTAATGGCTGTCGGGAGTGTTTTGTTGGTAATAGATCTGAACTCAAATGCTTCATGAGCCTTACTGTTGATACCCAACTTTGGGTTTCTTTTTAGACCCAACAAAACCTTACATTGGTGCTTTAAAAGATGATATATGAAGTCCACTGAAGGGTGGTTGACATGATAAATCTATTCCCCTCCTACGCTTTTGTAGCTAGTTGATAAAGTTTATCATTGTACTCTACTTACCTTGGATATCACGATATGGGAGGACTGTGCTGAAACATAGTGACAGCTAGCAGGTGAAGGGGACGTGGAATCGCTTGGACCGCCATTGATTCTCCAAAAAAGAAAAAGTTTGAAAGGGAGCTTCCTTTTTTTCTAAGAGCGAAAGAGGGCATTTTGGAACCTAGCTTTGTTAACTGTCATTATCCACCACGTGCTTTATGTGAAAAAATGGAAGGAGGCAAAACCGGAAAAACAGTTGTGGAAAAGAGACGCGAAATGTAGTTTGGTATAATTTTCATTTATTAAATAAATGTTTATTCTTGATTTATCTTAAAATCAAGAAAATTATTTGATAAAACAATTAGACACCACATCAGAGAATCGAGAAAATTATTTGATAAATCGTTTATAGACAATTAGACACCACATCACAAGAATAGTGAATAAACACTCAACCCTTGGGAATACGTATATAAATCAAAATCCACTTTTATGAATATCAATACATGCGGATAAATATGATGGAAAAAATGTTGATTTAATAATAACATGACGATATTTTGATAAACTCCTATTAAGAAACATCTAGGGAACAAAACACACTCATAAGGGAGGATATCTAATATCTGTACCTGGGCACACGTTGGAGAGGCAAAATCAATCACGGAAGAACAAGCACATGGTTCTGCGCTCATTGATTATATGTAAAATGAAGCTTATTGGCAGTGAAGAGCTTGGCAAACTTGTAATTTGAATGCCAATGCCATCAGTATCCAGCAGTGGGCCATGAATTTGAATATGGTACTGGAGAAAATCAAGCATAGTTCATATGATGTYAAGAAAAAAATCATTTCTTTAATGGAATGCAAAGACAAACAACAAAAGACTCTATGTCTTGTGTATGTGACAGACAGTCTCTCACCAGAAAAAAGACCCTTACGCGCTAATCTTGTTCCATGGGATTTGCAGTTATTCCTTGTCGGAAAAGGGAAAAAAAAGAAAAAAGAAAAATGGCCTTATGGTGTAGGCAGCAAGAGGGTTAACAAGGAATTAAGGTATGAACAGCAGCCACAGGCCACAGTAGCCAGCCATGCTGCATGTTCTTTGCCGACAACTAGTTGAGTCAATTCCACATTCCTCATCAGTCATGCACCTGTGGTCAGCACGAGCATCAGGGACATGGCAAGCACTCTCCACCAATTGGGCAGTAGTTCCTCGTACCAGTGTAGATGCTGGACAAACTTGCAAAGACATTGCACTTGCACGTTTTACTTGGCTAATTCCCTGCAAACAAAAAATATCATATAATGTTATAAAATAATTATTTTATCCACATATTTATGTCCCTGGTGTAGTATAAGCGGAGAACATGCACAAACATGGCAACTGCGGGGGGGCTGAAAATTGGCCAACCAAGACATAATTCTGAAATATTGGTACAAGAAAGGTAAGAGACTAGAACCTTGACAAAAGTCCAATTAGTTGAAGTGAAGGTCTCGGGAAGCCTCTCATGCCAACTACTTAATACAGGAAGAGGATGACCCTCAGTTGTAAATATATAATTTTGATCAGCCAAAAATGAATCATCAAAAAGAAGATAAAGATATTTGCACCTGCAGAAAAGGAAAGGAAAATAACTACTGCATTTACATTCACATATAGCAAAATCAATCACCAGGCTTTAAATAGAATTCTCACGTTTCTGCCAGGAAGAAGCTATGTTGATGATCTTCCAGTTGCATGGTTGTCACATCTTTTATGCTTGCAAACCCACCTTCCACTTTAGTATATAAATTAAGAGAATTTACAATTGATTCACCCACTTCCATGTACCAAGGATCTGAAATATGCAAGTGTATAAGCAGAAGTGAAGACAAAAATCGCATTCAAGGACAATTTTTTGGGTAAATAATTGTTGAACTTTAAGACCTTCCTAAGAAAAGAACATCTCTCTTCAGATCGAGGCATCAAATCAAAAGGGTATATTCTTGACATACTCAAAAGGGTATGTTCAGCTAGTTGAACAAAATGGAAAGCAACTGTATCGCCCACTGACACATCTCAGCTACTACAATGATACACAAATAGTTGAACAAGGCATATCAGAATCAACTAGACAAAACTAACTCCTGAATTTCCACTGTATTATCAGTTAATTTCTTAAATTGTCAGACTAATTATTTATTTTGTCAACTAACTAAAATGCATGAACCTTAGCATAAAAATCAAAAGTGCAATGGAGGTTAAAGAATAGTAATACAATTTTAAAAGGGAAACCAGCATCAGAATCTATGCCTAGGATTTTAAGAAATTAAGTCTCATGAACTGTTATATTGTTTATGTGCATATTTAAACTTAGCTTCTTTCTCCATATTTGGCTCTGTGTGTGGGTGGGTGGGAGAGCAAGTAAGATTGAAGCTTCTGATTGATTCAAGGTAAGGATAAATAAGTGAAAAGTACAATGATCATACCTTTGGTAGCTTGATATAAGTAAAATGTGGACTCTGCCAATTCAGGGCGTAGAGGATAATATTTCTCAGTAGGATGCAACATTTCATGGTTCAGCAAATACCTATATAATTCATTCTTACCATGAGATTAAATCTAAAAGAAAAAAGAGAAAGTTAAGCAAACATAACCATTGAGAACAACCATAGAAGCAGAAAACAAGGGAGAAGACATGAATGGAAAATCTCATGTAAATGTTTAATTAAGAAGTAAGATTCAAAGTTTCAAACCATGCACACCTTTCTGGTAGCACACCAAATTTTTCCCACACATGAAAAAACTCATGATGGGATGAATTAGCAGCCAAAATGTCTCCAACAAGAACCTGTTAAAGAATATCCTAAAGATCAAGATACCACTTTCGGTCAAACATCCAAAATTCAATTATGAAAATGTTAAGGTCTTCATCACTTGCCTGTAGGCCAGGCCAAAATGCTTGAAGGCTTGTAAGCTGCCAGTATGTAGCCCTTCCAGTCCTCATATCAGCTTCATGATACCTAGAACACAATAATTGCATTGTTACTTAATGTGAACTTTTGATAACATTAAACTATGAAGCTAGACAAGTAGAAATAATAAACACATGCAGATAGGGGATTCTCATTCCCACTTCCCTTTAATGCATCCATGCCTCTGTAGCTGTAAATGTTGAAATGCACTTACATGTCGAACTTCAAGCCCACCCCCGTAATCTTTTAAAACCTACTAATGGTGTTTGATTGCAAATGTCTTGATCATGTGTCTGTATGAATTGAGGACTCAAATCATTCTTAATGACTAGTGAATAGTGATGCATGGACATGGGAATTGAAACCCAATGTGCGCCTAGAAGTCAAGACATCCAAGATGAAAAAAAAATGGACCCAAAGACACATCCAAAATCAGTATTTAATATTAAAAGATTCCTTAGATTGTGAAATATCATTGCATACCTATAGAATGCATAATTAAATATAGAAGTTTGTCTTTGTTACCTAATAAATTCATTATGTATGTTAGATGTTCATAATGTGCATAAACTTTTACCTCACCATTAAAAAAAGGACAAAGAAAGAAGAAAGAAAGAAAGCAGAAAGCCAGAAAGTGGAAAACCATATAAGTATCCTATCAAGAATTCATGGTGTGTCAAAAATCAAAATCTGACACAAGACCAACATGGGCAGTTCATCCATTTATGATTGTCCACGTACTTGCCTACATTCAGGACAATTCATTCATTTCTGGGATCCCATGCCCTAGAGCATGCTTCCTTGGCCTTTTATATTGATAAAAGACCAAGTGAGCTGCTTTGATGATGATACAGTGAAAACTAAATACACATAACTTGCATGAAGGGGCCAGGCACAGTATAAATCCAACAATAAAAAGCCTATCTTGGAAAATACTAATATAGTGCCACCCTGAAAGAGGAAAGCCCCAAGTTAAGGATGGTCTAAATGCCCCTTGCCAGTCTATCATTAAGGAAAATGCATAGCCCTGGAATCCATCTAAATGAGCCATTCATTTTGGAAGCCAAGGGTCGAGCCTCTCTGATGTAATGTCACAACTCACAAGTGCCAAGGGCCATCTGAGGAGAGCAGCCAACATGATCAATTTTCTTATAATATAATTGGGACTTGTAAATATTATTTTGAACATGTTAGGTCGCTATTTATGGATTAGCATTCTTTTTTTGATAAATATAATTTGTACAATCTTTTTTGTACAGACTTTACATACTTGTAAATGGATTAGCAAATATTTGTATTGATGGTTAAAAAGTTAAAACATGATGATTCATTATGTTTTTTCTGATAATAAAATAAAATAAAATTTATTAAAAGGAAAAGGAAAGAATACAGGAAAGGTGACTAGCAGTCACCTGAGAGAAAAAAAGAAACAATACACCACCCTCCACAAACCAGCACTTTTTAAACTAAAAATTAAAGAAAAAACAACCAACACATAATCAAACAAACAAACATGGAAACAACCCACAACCAAAGGAACAAACAATCCAATCAACCCGATAAAAAACGATAACAAAACAACAACCAAACCCCACCAATAGAACCATACCCTTTTTTTTGATAAATACCAATAGAACCATACCCTTACTAAACACCCATATAACTTTGCATACATTCTCAGAAATCATTATGTTTTACACACACACACAAAAAAAAAAAAGAAAGATCATTCACTATGTGAACCAGTGACACCCCTCCAAAAAAAAAAAAGAAAAAGGGAAAAATGAAAAATAAATGTCAATTACGTGTCTAACCATATATATGGTGGTTTTCCTGTGGCACTGTATGACCATCCAGTTCAAGATACAGCCATGCAATCCAGGATGAGATCATTCATCCTAGCAGAAAAGAACGTCTCTTTCAAGGCAAAGCAAAAGGGAGAAGATTTGGAAGAATGGAAAATGAATAGCACATAGTGAGGGATAAACAATGCCAACAGATACTTTCAGAGTCACAACCTCCTTGAGGTAGAAAAAAAGGAAGGCAGAGGAACCTCTTCTAGCAGAACCACAAATAGATAGAAAAAAGTTTGGTGGGTCAGAAGTTAATCTGCCAGAGTCAAAAGGGTCAACCCATGACATCATAATTAGATAATAAATATATAAAACAGAAAATACAGAAATTTTGTAGAAAAAATTGGGCATATCTTTAATATTATATATTCATCATATTAAACAGAAAATACCCACTGACTGGGTCAAACAGTTTGGCAGTTCAAGTAGCCCATCACCAGGTCATTGACTGGGCCAATAGTTTTTTGCAAGGAGTTCAGTAGTGAATTGGACCTGGAATTCTAACTTGGGTCTGACCAAATGGTTAGACCATCAGTTGAAAACAATGGCCACATCAGAGCAAAGGTCATATACGTGCATGATGGCTGTAATGGGTTCAGCAGTTCAAGTGGCCCAGCCACCAGATCATTGACTGAGCCAATAGTTTTTTGCAAGCAAGCAGTTCAGTAGTGAAATGGACCTGGAATTCTAGCTTGGTGATGTGTTGAATGGCCTGACCAACCAGTTAGACCATCAGTTGAAAACACTGGACACATCAGAGCATAGGTCATAAAAGTGCATGATGGCTGTGCATGGACACCCCCACCTTTGGAAGGGAATTGTGAACCAACTTGAGTTGACACATGTCCACGAGTCAACTTGTGTTTGATTCTCCAAAATATGCACCCAACTCAGCTATAATGTGAATCAAGTGGATTTACCAAAATGCGCATTGTATCAACTGTCAAAGATTACAAATCCTCATTTTAAACATCTCTATGTAACAGTGTCCAACCATTTAAGTATCCAATAGGACACTCAAATATTTATATTTTTCCAATTTATACATAATTTATGATCCATTGTTTAGTGGATCTTTTCCAATTAAACGTGAAATTAGGAAAATGATGAAAAAAATAACTAGTGTGGTGACATGGCATGAAAAAGGTTGTGAGTTTAATTTGTCAATTTTAAAATTAATTTAACAATATATCGTTATGCATACAAAGCTCTATGAATTCTATAAATAATATAAAAATTATAATATTTATTATATATATAATAAATATTATTTATGTAAGAACTAAGAAGTGTCCACAAATCCTGCACACGTGTCAGTTTCTGACTCCTATGTCCAAGCCCATGCAACACTGGCTGTAACAAAATTCTTCAGTGATTTGTCCTTTATTCCATATCAGCAAGAGGTAAACATCCTATAAATACCCTATTTTGTGTGTGTGTGCATTGGAGGGGGGGGACATGATCAGATAACCTGAAGACAAAGCATCATAGGTCCACTCTCCCTCACCAGGCCCCACTCAAAATATAAAAAATGGTCATTCCGCTTCAAGACTAATGGTCAAAAGGTCAGTATTCCGGTTTAGGGGATTTCCGCAATTCTTCCTTCTGGCAAATTCAAAAATCCAGATTCAGAGCAACCTTCTGAAAATCATAATTGCATGTATATCCTAGTTTTTCTTTCCTTTTTTGATCAGTTCTTAAGTGTAAATACCTCTAAAATCTATTGCTTAATGAGGGGAGGGTCCATGGGCCAACAGAGGGGATCACTTGGGAGTTAGGAGGTAAAGCCATGAACATGGACCTTAGTGGAGTCCTCTCCACATATATACATTAAACTTTTAATGCTGATCTTATAGAAGATACTTGTTGATTGCAAGCGGGTAAGTTTTGACCCCTCCATCCCGATCTCCCACC